AGAGAGCGCGAAGAAACAATTTTAAAATTAGTCACTTGTCGTGATAATAAAGTCGAAGCCGAGCAACGTCTTTACAGTGCGAGTTCATTTTTAACCCAAGAGAGGAAAAAAAAGACGCGCTGCGGTATATATAAAGTAGACTTGCGGTGAATAAAAACAGTGTCGCGAGACACGAATTTCGTGGGTATAATGCGTCTCCCGAACGAGACACCGAGAGCTTATTACGATATATTATTTGCGGAGTCTCGAGCAGCGTGCTGCATGCAACTTTGTATGGCTATATATCGTAATGCTTTGGATTTAAAAGAGCGCAAAATACGTCAGGATCGTCGCGAAGTGCCCCTCCTTTTTTACTCTCTCGCTCTCTCGGCCACAGGCAGTAGCAGCTCCGTAGAGCACGTGGAAAAGTGAAAAATTACGCGTACGAGACGTATACAGCGATGCTTGTAAAGGCTGCGAGCACGCGACAGATATATATTTTATTCCAAGTGTCGTCGTCTGGGTCTTAAATTTAGCCTCGGCTCGTCATCGTCGCCGCTCTCGTCGTTTACATCGTTTTTTCTCTCTCTCTCTCTTTCTTTCCCTCCTTCTCTCATTCTCGCTCTGCGCTTATTTATACACATAAGCACGTGGCGTTGTCGTCTTTTTTCTTCATCCGAACGCGGTGCATTGTAAGTCATGGTGCTCCTACAGCGCGCCACGCGTTTGAAATATTTTGCAGGGAAGGGATATCGAGCTTGGCAGTTATTATTGCAGAGACAAGCGCGAGAAATCTGGCTGCGAACGTGTGCCCGTGCTATACGGGGTCGGTTAACGAAGAGACGGCCGACTGCATACGTGTAGCCGAGTCGCGACGCTGATTGTCACATGTGTGCCCTGCAGGCCGCTTCGTTTTTTTTCACGATACGACGTACGCACACAATTCATTTATGGTCGCGCGCTGCAGACGGCGAGTAACGCGTCGCTCTTTCGAATGCCATGGATTCTTCGCATTCGTACGTTGTCTTTGCAATTTTCGAATAGTAGACCGATACTCGAACGAATCCACGCTCGACTCGGGACGAAGAAATACCGATCAAAAAATTAAGCAATACAAGTACACGTCGAAGCGTCAGAATAAATTTTTTAAATCTTATTAAAAGTCCACGGTCGATATGTGGCGCTTAATAGAGCCGGAAATGTTTTTGAAATATCAAACGATATTCTTGAAAATCGTCCCATTTCTTTGGAGCAAAAAGTCCTAAAAAACTCGGCTCGCGCAATTAATAAATCAAAACAAGTCGAGTCACGCCGCGAAGACAGTTAATTGTTGGAGGGAGCACCACACGCAGAGCCCATGCCTCAAGACTTTACCGTTGATCGTTATGGCATCGACACGTGTTGCTCGCTTACAATTACACATCGACTGGTGTAGTGTAGCAGCAGTGCGACTTCCTGCTTGCATGCGTATCGTAGCTGGTGTGTCGGGCGCCTTTTGCTCCATTCGATCGAATTTGCTGGGCGCAAGCGACGATTATCACGATTGCGGTCCCGCATATACGCTTATGTAATACGACGAACTTTGCAGTTAGCGGTATGGCGAATCTTGGTCCAAGTGCATGACGCGTCAAAAAAAAGAGCGGGTCGAAAATCGCTAAATAGAGAGAGAGAGAGAGAGAGAGAGGGAGGTAACCGCTATAGTTGTACTCTCACTTTTTCGAATGGCGACGCGATACAAATGACTCGCGCATTCGTAAAGTACAATGCTCCGATCTGCGAATCTCGATAGCAAGAGGCGTGTAGCGCGCACTCGAGTTCAATTGAAACTCAAACAAATACGTAACGCGCGTCACGAAGTATATCGCGACGAATCCAAGAGGTCGCGCGAGCAAAAACGACTCACGATCTTCGACGAGTCGAATTAAATACCGTATACATCATATACTTGTAAGTACGCGCGACATGCACAAACGATTCTTATCGATGGGGCCCACATATAGCCGTTACAATAGCGAGCTCGTGTACATGCACACGTGCCGAATGCAGCAGCAGCAGCAGTTTAGTTCTCGCGCTGTCGTATACGTTGCAGTACTGGGCCGCGCGCGAAAATAAGGACAAAGCAACGGGTCCCTCTCTTCCTCCTATATATGCGCTCCTCGTCATCCGGTTTTATATAAGTTTACGCGTGTGTAGAGATGTTGTCGTTATCTATATATATGAGCGACGAGGTGCAGCTCCAGCGACAGACGCGCCGACAGCTATTATATGGACCTTAAAGTTCTGCCTTCTCATGCCTTCTTATATATATGACTGTACGAGATGAGCACGCGTCGTTCCTCTCTCTCTCTCTTTTCCTTTTTTCCTTTCTTACGGTATATCTCTCTGTGTATAGTGCAACGCGCGAACGAGTATAACGCGCGGCTTATGTGCAGTCGCAAATTTAGGGCGTGGATGTGCCAGAGATGTTTAGGATCCGCAAAAGAGCGACACTAACGAGCTTGTGTGCGCGATCCTCTTCTATACGTACGTATACGTGTGCAGAGGTCGCGGCTGTATAATATTTTTTGCCATTCTTTTCTCGCGCCTGTGCCCGATGATTATACGAGAAAAAAAGAAGAAGAGAGAGACACGTCGTTGAAAGAAATGAACGGTGCATCGAGAGATGTGCAACTCGATACAGTGTGTAATGAATTACTCGCAAAAAACTGACTTGTGCGTATAGCGTTCGACTCATTTCGTAAATTCGTATACGTGCTCGATCATACACACTTGATAAATGTTTTCGACGAATTTTTCAGTGAGCACAATAGCTCAATTATACCGCGAGGAAGGAAAACAACGTTAGGACGATGTTTCCGGTGTGTTTACAATACAACTCTTTACGGACGACGACACGACGATTAAAGAATAATGACTCATTTTTTGGCAGGTATCGTTACGCGGTGAAAGAAAAAACACCTATGTACAATCGTCGCGGCTCGTGTTCAATTGTTTGTCCGAGCAACAAAAGTCGCGGCCCTTCCGCGAAATGACTCGTAAGTCGTTGCTCACGTCGCGTTCATTTGGGTGGCCCATACAGCAAAGGATATTCGTAAGCAATTGGCATTGACATAAAGTTAAATATTTTGTGTTCGAGAAATTTTCAAGAATGAAAAATTGTTTAAAAACAATTACCTCGATCGGCAAAAAATTCTCGAGGGTGAACAGCAAGAAGCAGCAATTTCCGGCTTTTCCCGCCAAAACGTCGCTCCATCCAACTTTGCAACCGAAAACGGCACTCCTCTCCCTGTAACAGTGCTTCGGAGAATAAAAAACTCACCATCGAAGCACAGATACGATTCGAACACACACTTTCTATCTAATACAACATTCGAACGTCGAATCGTAGATTCGCAACCGTCGAGGAGTAGCAGCAGCACGAGTACAATGCAGTGCAGAAGGAGCAAGGGCAGTAGTGCGCCTTGCTATCGGTGGGCGCGTGACGTCACGTTTCGAATCCGCTGCTACTGCCTATGCCTGCGACTCTGCTCTACTCCTCTTTTGCCCATATACCCACTATCCGCAGCAGCAGCAGCGGCAGCGGCGGCGCGTATGGCTCCGCGCGCAGCCACAGCGTTGAACAGTCAGTCAGTCGCGCGTCGACCTCCGTCGCTTGCGTCCCGCTCGTGCCGTGTATTTTTCTCCCCTCGTGTCTTTCGCAGCCGCGTGTGTTGTGGTTGTAGTTGTTGTTGTTGTTGTTGTTGTTGTTTTATCGTATGCTCGTCGCACGTGTGATATGCAAAGTAAACTGTGTTTCGATGTCCTCGCGCGCGACCCTATGTGTGTGTGCTGGTGATGATCAACGCCGCTTTTTGTTGTTCGCTCAAAATTGCCCCGTACTCGAGTGTTTAATAAAAACGCATGCGAAATGATAACGACGGCGTGTGCGATTTAACGTCGTTTCTGTAGAACGAGGAAAAAAGCGCCGCTTGTCCAGTGTGCTTTATCGTGGAACAAAAAAGGAGTAAAAAATATCATCCCCGAGGCTACGGAAATTCAAATTTGCGGGAAATCGATTTAGTGAGCCGAGCGCGCAGGGGTTATACAGGAGAGATCTATCTCTACCGCAACACCGAGATCGCTTATTCTCGCCCCATATATTCTTCGAAATCAGTATCAACAAAAGCGACTCAAAGTGCAGTGAATGTTGAATCGAACGACCACGACGATTCATTTGAATAATCGATTGCCGCTCCAGCGTTGTATACATCTTCGCGAGCGGTTCTGTGTGTGTGTGTGAGTGTGTGTAAGCCGAGTGTACGAGTGTCATACGAGTGTTTGTGGCAACTTTTCGCGGCTCTCGGAGTATCCTGCATCCGCAAATCCAATACACACACTTGCAGGCGGCGGTGCGCATTTGCCGAATCGTCGCTCCAGCAGCAGCAGCTCCGCGTGCCGTTGCACCATTAACGATGTATCACGAGACTCCGATGACAAACAGTCGCATACACGGCATTGCCTGGATTTAGCCTGTGATGCTCTAATTTCTCAATAAAAGACATCTCTTAAGTCTCAAAGCTGATTGCTCCGAACTCAAACGCTTATAGCAGCCACTCCCCAAGTGCACAGCCACAGCAGCAAAACAGCAACATCCTCGTGTTCGTTAGAAAAATACTGCATCATCGGTAGTGTTTTGTTTTTCTTCCAGTTGTTGTCACTGTGTGTTTTGATTTTGGTAGATCCGCAAGCCGACATACGAGAAAGAGATGACGTTCTCGACCCGGTCAATGGATTAATGAAAAAAACATATCGCAGCCATATAACACGCATATTTTGGAGATCGATATCGACGCTCGCGACAGCAACACACCGCTCGGAAACAAGTCCGGTTTTTGTTTTTCGTGGTGTGCGCCTTCCAATGCAGATTCCCGCGCGACAGCGAATTATACACCACCACCAGCACTACTACTACTACCACTACATTGCTACGGCCACCAGTACCGCTACGCCAGTAGCGCTGACGAGCGAAAAATCTCCGGGATTCCGCCGACGACTGCGGGACTGATTTACTCTCCACGGGGACGAAACTTTAACCGGCTCACCGCCGACGTTGCCGACGCTGTTCCGTATAGAAAAAGAAGAGATATAGAGAGAGCGAGAGAGCAAGAAAAAAAGGATCGACCAAGCTCTCGGGTTACACCGACTAGCTCTGTGCATTGAGAAAAAAGAAAAATAGAGCGAGAGAGAGAACAGCTCCTACTCGCTACGTAGTGCGGAAATTGAATCGTATACTTATACTACCCCCCAGTGCAGTGTGCAGTTGATTCTCAAATATATGATTTATCTACATTCACGCTCGCGGCGATAACGCTGTAAAAATCACGTGGTGTTCGCGGTCGACTAAACGCGTTCCGTGTGCAGCTCCTGTGCGCGATCCTATATACGCGTCTTCGTTGTGTGACGAGCCTCGCATAATCCGGCCGATGATTTTCAGTGTCCACGAGTGAGTGTGAAATAGAAAAGAAACAAAAGAAGCAAATTTCCGCCGAAATCCGACCAAGAAGTTGGCCCTCGCGCCTGGAAAATATGGCTTCTCTGGCGGCAATTACCCTGCTTCTGTGCCTCGTAACCGCAGCTCTGGCAGACAATTTAGGTAATGTATCACGATTTTTTTTCCTTTCTCTTCCCACACACGTCCTGCATCCCTTATACTCTCACTCACTCTCTCTCTTTCTCTTATTATACCAGTGCATATATACATAGCATGATTTAAAATGTATGGTGCAGCAGCGGTGAATTTCTGCGTCTCACTCGTGAGCTAGCTGCAGCAGCTCTCGTGCAGCGCCGCCGCGCAAGGATATCGTCGTCGTCGTCGTCCAGCGTGCACGCGAAAAGTTCATGACGCCGCGAATTGTGAAGTAATATAATTCGCCGGTGCTGTTGCACTTGCCACATGCATCTCCGGGCGTCTGTTAACGTAGCTGCTGCTGCTGCTGCACTGCTACCCCTTCATATTATATGTGCGACGAGAGCGAAATTTTTTACTAAGAGACGGGATAAAACGGGATAGTAGTAGGGCGGCCGAGCGCTGCTGCTCCAGCACTATGTATGTGCACTGCTGCGTTAGGAATTTATCGGGCTAATGTTGAGCCACCACGTACATATTATACATGTATATACAGCTATTCGTATTATTTTTGGTTAACTCGTTGAATTAGCTTCTTTAAAGCAACGGCTTGCATGTATGTGCACTTTGCTCCTAAAAAGTAAGGCAAAAAGAGCAACCAAGAACAAGAGACGGAGGTGGATATAAATCGCAGATTATATCGAGTTAAATGCCAAAGCTCTGTATATAAGGCTAAAATAATAATTAAAGCGTAAATAGTGTATGCGCGCAAGCTGAAACTCTCGTTTGAGCGTGTTCCTCTTCATATTTGCCTGTTTTTTTTTTCTTCTCTTACTCGTTCGTCCGCATTAATAACGCCTTTTACTTCCGAAGGTCTCTCTCGCTTTTCTTTTTTCACGATGCACATGATTAATCAAAGATATATGTGCTCGCGCACAGGGCTTATAAATGTGCAAGTCTCGACTAATGGCTATAACACACACATATGTTTTAAAGGCAAAAAAATCATAACGACGCCTTTGAAAGATAAAGTCTCTCGAGAGTCTTTGGAGAGCAGCTCTATACGTGCACGAGTGCAAGCGCGCCGCGCGCCTGCCGAGCTTCAAACATTTTTACAAAAAATATATATACACGCGCATCGATGCAATCACCGTTATACGCATCTCATTCACCTGCGCATCGCATACGTGATTGCTCATTAATCAGAAATTGTAACCTGGCGCGCATGCAAACGGCTGCAGCAGTATAGCCGCGCGATTTTTTTCGCAAAAATCCGTGAAATTTCTCACGAATCGATTATCGTTGCGCGGGAGCATCTTGCCATCTCGCGCGAAGCTAATTAATCTGCATAATATAATCATTACGGCCAATTTTATCTGCGAGAAAAAGAGTTGGGATCCGAATGCCCGCCGCCAATATACTTCTCGGTCAAGAGCTGTGGCCACAAGGCGATATTATGGGCTGGGGCTAAGCCAGCGACCGAGGATTATTTGCTCGCTGAGAGGTGATATTAAACAGAGTGAGAGAGATGGACCATCGAATGGCTTTAGTTACTCGGTCTGTATATAGATATATGACAATATACAGCTGAGAACAAACGCAGTAACAGAGAGAGAGAGAGAGAGAGAGTGAGGAAGAAGACCAGAGACATACCCTATTGCTTGGCAGCTCATCATTTGTTATCTTAAGCTCTTACGGCTAGATCATCGAGCAAAAGAGATGTGAAGTCGTGTAAGTGTACATCATAAGGTAGCCTAAGAACTGATGTAACGCACCCCATTATAGGGAGTTACTCATCTTAGGAATCGCGTCTTCGCTACTTCGACTCTCGAGTGTGCTCCGCTTTGAATATTAACTATAGCTGCGAGCGAGCGACTTTGATTCCTTGGTATTTGTGCCACAAACGCGTGGGTAAATTGACACCGACATACTTGTGCAGCAACAAAACTGCTAACAGTTGTAAACTTTTTACCCTGAATCGGTGACGAATACGCTCAAGTTTTCGAAACCCGCATCGAAAGAACGCAAGCACGCGAATTTATTTCGATTCATTATATATGCAAAAAAGAGAGCGCATAGCGAGCTTGGACGCAAATTTGAGCGAGAAAACGGGGCCGATAATTCGGTTCAGCAGCGAGCGAAATCACGTGTAGCGCGTTTATCGCTTATTATAAAAGTGCCTATAATTAGCCACCGAGTCTTTATCGGGTGTGTATCTCTTTTATGCGAGCGCGCCGGAGGGGAAAACGAGATCTCTCCCCCTCTCGCGCGTATACGCCGATGCGAGTGCTGCTGGACGCCTACATGAACAGCAGCAGCAGCAGAGTACGGTATTATATATGCTTCGTCGATGCACCTGACACGCCATTTGAATAATGCATGATGATCAATACTTTTCTTTCTTTTTAAAATTATTATCCAGTTTAAAAATTTACAAATGCCAGTGTGTGTGTGTGCGCAGTTTCGTTTTTACATCGCGCGGGCTTGCGCGCTGCATATTATATGTGTGTGCGCAAGTGCGCGATGGCTCAATAAAACATTTTATAAACACGCAAATGCATTTGGAGAAATATTAAATGAAAAATTGCACTAGGATAATTTTTCACTTGCACACGGATCGTACAATACGACGCGTGCAACACGATATGTATCATAACTTGGTAATTCGAGTATGCTTTTATCGTTAATTAACAATTTTTTTTTATTCCCCCGAGCCATCGGGTCGCGCGCGAACGTGCCATATTTATATTTGAAAATGTCATCAAGTTTAAAAGAAAAAAAAAGCATAAATAAAACAACGGCAACAACAGCGTAAACGTACTTGACGCATCGAGGCTCTGGTTACCCAATCATCGGCTCATATAGTGATGGAAAAAAGGCCGCCGCCACGTTGTGCGAAGAGTATATTTCGGTTTCGAAGATATCCTAAAGATTCGTTTATAAACGAGGGAAGCAGGAAACAGCTCCAACAACACTATAGCATCAGCAGTGGAAGCAGTAACAGTAGCAGCCTCTAAGTACTGCGTAGCTATTTTCGTATCGGTTGAGCCATTACAGCATCCCGAGCGCGTCTTTCACACTTGCGGGCTCGTGTGCTGCACGTATACGCGTACACACACTTAAGACACGAGCAGAAGCTGGTCGCGGTGAAACGGACGTATATAGCACTCGCGTGTACGGCGTGAATGCGGTTGAACTTTAATCCTACGACAAGCCGACGCAAGACATGCCATGCATCATAACGATCTCTCTCTCTCCTCCTCTCTTGGTCTTGCGCACTAGACATAAGCTACTTAAGTGGTTAGAGGCGTATATGTGTGTGCAGTACAGGCACACAAGGATACAGCAAGGAGGTGTGATATATAATAAATCCATCCGCATCTTCCTATACACATGTACGTTATATGCGTACGCGTATCGCATCGCCTGTCGATAAATCATGCGTTCGGACGTGCGGCTGCCGCCGAGGCAAAAAGTCGCACCGCGCGCGCCTCTGTGTACATATCCTTTGACGCGCTCGCCGATAGCGCCGTAGCTATCGCAAAGAAACAAATCTCTGTATGCACAAAGTGATGCAGGTGCAGCGCGCCTCACACACGCCCCTGGATCGCTGGCAGTAAACAAGCACACACACGTACACACGGCGAACATATAGCTACGTGATAAAAGAGAAAAAAATTGAATGCTCGCGTGTAAACTAGGCCGATTTGTTTCTCACTTCGACCCCGCACGTACCTATCGTTCGCGAGAGAAATAGAGAGAGAGAGAGAGAGAGAAAGAAAGGCGAAATGGGCAAAGAGTCATTGCTGCAGCCGCCAAAGCAAGTATAGCGTGACGATAATATGCGCGCGACGCGCTTGTGCGGAGCCAACCTTCTGTTGGGCCGCGGGATTACGTTGCCAAGAAAGATTTATGACTTTAAAATGCAACTACTACTACTGCTACTACTCCTACTAGCATGATATCGCTGCCGGTGAGCGCGTCCTTTAAATACAGTCACCAAGTGGAATTTACAGTTTTCTATACGCGGCAATTGAGATAATGTAATTTCAAGCCAAACAATTTGTCCAAAGATTACCGTGGCGAAACCGCAGCCGGTATACGCGGAGAAAATTAATTCCAATGTCGATTGAAAATGAGAGAAAATAAAAATGTATATCGACAAATAAATTGAAAATAATAAGTAATTGCTAGCGGGAAGATTGTTTATCGCGCGAGCGCAGCTGCGCAACCGCATTCCGGGGCCCGAGAGTATAATCAAGCCTGCGTGTGCGCCGTGCGCGAGTATAACGAAACAGCAGCGTAATGCGAAAAACACCTTCCGAGATTCCTCGCGCACACGATACGATATCTCGCGCGCGAGGCGCGGAAATAACAAGACCTGCTTAGGCAGCAAACAATCGAAGATGTTCCGCGCGCGCTCGAGGGGGTATTACTTATATCAAGCGCAAAACTCGGTGCAGCGAGCGTCGTCTCCGAATCTCGAGCGAGAAAAGAAAAAGAGGCCGCCTCGTAAATTCATATTATAATTGGCGTGAGACCTTGTCTCATTTTTCTTTCGCGAGCGAGCGTCGTCGTCGTCGTCGTAGTAACACTTTTTTAAAAGTTCCCCAATCGAACCCGTAAATCTGAAGAAGCGCGGCGCGCGGCAAACTAGTACATAGGCGTGTGTTATATAAGGAATAAAGTCAGTTTGTCGAATTACGCGCGGGGAGCAAAGTTCCTTATTCCGTGATTTTTAGAAAATTCCATTTCACGTTGGCAGCTGCAAGAGAGAGAAAGAGAGGAGGGGAGGGCGAATGAATTGTAGGGATCGACAAGAACCGAGCGAGCTTTTCCGCGAGTTTGACCTGACCCATTGCGGAGCGAACCAAGGACAATTGTTTCCTCGTGGGCTCAAGAGTTATAAGGTTATTGCGATAATCTTGCGACTTGCTTCTTCTTCTTTTACTTTCCTTGATTTCAACCCAAAGTCTATTCATTACTTATAGAAAAGGAATGAGTATGTAATCTACAATCCGACGACG